TGAAAGACAAGTCAGTCTTAAAAGTAAAGACTCCCAGGCTTATGGAATATGGTTCAGTAAAAAAATTGCTAATGATGTTATGCAAGAGTCATTTTTGTGTTTCCAAAATGTACTGTTGGATCCACTTTCTAAGTTCAGCTGCTCTGAAGTGTATTTACAGGTGCACGGAGTAAAAATAGCAGCCGAGGTTCGTAGCTGATGGCTGAAGGATTAGAGTGTGAAGTCACAAACGTCACAGGCTCTGTCCTTAGAGTGGATATATATTATTCTGTGTTGTTACTCTCCAAACTCAAAGCATTAATGACTGCATTGCTGTTAATAAAAAAACTCCTCTTGGCAGTCAAAAGTTATTTAAAATCATCTGGATGTTATTTTGCCCCAAAGCACCAACAAAAAAAATGAAACAGTCAATCTAAAACTTCAGGCACATGCTTTAGTAAGTGTGAATATGCATTATTTGCTGTGATATATGCGCGAATGTGTGTGCACAAGTGGAATTAATTTATTCTGTGTGCTGTGAAAGCTTCAGCAAAATGACACATTTGCACTTCATAAATCTAAGCTCTGAGTCACCACGCTGCCACTCAAACTGCAGTCTGTTTCATCCACAAACTGCTTTTATTTGCATACTTGTCGATACTGTTTACATCTTGTAATTTCCCACGGGAGTCCCTGAAATCTGAGTAGCCATCTATATATATATATATATATATATATATACGTATATATAAACACTTAAGAGTATAAAATATAAAAATATTCTCCCAGAGCTGGAATAATATAAAAACTGGTAGTAAAAACCCAGCACCCCTGATGTGTCATCCCTTTTTTGTTCCTCCTTGTATCACGTTGGCCCTCTACAGGAAATCTGACTCCAAATCAGGATCAAGAATAAATATTCCTGACAACTCAGTCAACAACTCAGCCAGAAGTTGTTGCTGGGAGAAGTAAGACTCTTTTTTAGACAATGTTGAGTCACTTCCTAATGGGATTTTTTACCAGAAGGCACTTAACCGTGACATCAAACGCCGAAAACGTGGGTTGACAAATGGAGAAGCTCTGCAGAGATACAGTACAGCCTCTTTGTTTTAGTGTCTAATAATGAAGCAGACTAAACAGTTTGTGTGAATATCTCATGTTTCAATAGATTTTACATATTACGGCTCACTTAAAATGACTAATGTTCTCCTGCATATTAATATTAGATGAAGCAGAATTTATTGGAAAAACTTAAATCGATACCAAGGGTTTGAAAAACTGAACACACCCTAAAATTTAGAATGTTAACAGTGTCTGACTTCATTTTGAGGCAGTTTTGACCTATTTTAAAAGATAAGATTAATAGTCAGGCTGAGATTTTGACCTTTGACTCCAGAATACTTTGGTCTGAGACATTCAAGGATGACTAAAAAGCTGCAAAACAAGCTCATATCATCACTTTTCCACCACCGTACTTGACTTTATGTGTCAAAATAACAGATTTTTCTTTTTCAGCAGAGTTGTTCCTGTCTGTATTTAGTCCTTTGCTTTGTTTTGGAACAAATTCTGCTTGGATTAAACTTTTTTCCCTAATCACCACCTAGCGTCAATAATCCACCTCTTTGACCAGTCTCTTCTTTTCCTTTTCTTGTTGCCAAAGCTTGTATTTAAGCCGAGCCACAAACAGAGTCAGAAGACGCTCGCCCACAGCATCTGAGTATCCCTGAGCTGCTCTCACACACACCGAGGCTGTGCCGAAGCCTAACGGGGTTACAGCTTGTGTAACTGAATGTTGACAGAGAACTTGGCCACGGTGTTAAAAGTAGTAATCCGTTTGCCTTAAGTGCACCTGTGTTACATCACTGCTCTGCCTGCTAACGTCTCAACACTGCCTGCATGAAAACTATCGGCTGTAAGACCACCCACACAGAGAGAACTCAGGATCAGAAAACTGGATTAATCCCAAAGGAAAACTGAGACAATTTGACTGTTTGTGCTACCGAAGCCAGTTTTTCTGTCTCGCACAATCATGTTTAATTGGTTTTGTCTGTACAGCAGTGGCGGAGCTAGGATTTTTCTGAGTAAGGGGCCACAATATAGAGGGGCCAAGTCTTTGTTCAACATTCTTTCACACAAATCCCCAGTTTTGGTAAGTTGTATACATTTAACAAGTCGTACATATTCAAACACTTTTAATGTGATATAATTTTTCAAAAAAAAGGTACCACTTTATAATAAGGCTCCCCTTATAGATGGCTTTCAAAGAGTTTATAGATAAGTTATTAATTCATCTGTAAATACTTCATAAATCATTAATAAGTGGTTATTATGCATTAATTATGTAAGGTAAGGTTAAAAAAAAGGCTAACCTGTCCGGGTTTTTTTTTCCAAATACTGGGCCATCATTTTCAGTTGAAAGACTTTTTTTCAGGATTTTTCAAAATTTCTTAAGAAGAGAAGAAGAATTCGGATTCATTCTGGACTTTACTATTTGACTCATTAGCTCTACTAGTGTTTGAACATGGAGCTGCATCCACCATCATCACTCCCAGGTAAAGGACAGATTAGTGACAGGACAGGGGCACTTCAGGGGGCCAATCAGATTTCAGCTGGGGCCAATGCCCCCGTGGCCCCGCCCCTAGAACCGCCCCTGCTGCACAGCTTCTTATATCCTTTGGTGCATCTTTAAAAAATTAACTTTATGTCCATTTGAGTAAGCTCAAAGACTTCATATTGGAGTAGTACCAGGCAATTCAGTGATAATGATAAAAATCTGCTCCAAATACTGAACCGTGTGGCAACATTTTCTTATTTCTCTTTCCACAGTACATCTCCAGTCCATTTAACTATTTTTGAAAGTGATGATGGATTTATTTTTAGTTTCAGGAATTGTGGGTAACCTTCCAACTCAATCTTGATGTAACTTCAAACATGGCTTTGATTTTAATGGTTTGCATAAAATATTTTTTTCTAAACATCCCTTTACAAATAAACAAACAGAAGTTTAAAAGTGTAAGACAGAAATGGACGAAACTGTGTGCATGTGTCTGCATCACCACAATAATGTGGGTGAAAGGGGGGCTTTTTCTGCTGCAGATGAATGTGTAGCATTTGTTTCCATCATGTGGTGAAAATATAAAAGTACAGCCCAGTTAAAGTCTGCTCCTTTATTCGTTGGACAGTTTTCAGATGCTTACTGCAGCCAGACACTATTCTTTAAAATGAAAGTGGCACATTTTAAAAAAACAAATGTTTAAAAAAAATACAGGTTTGTCAGGTTGCACAAATGTGACTCAATATGTCAAACAAAGGATTAAGACACAAATTGGAGAAATAAGCAGCTTTAGTGCACTGGTTAAAATGTTTGCATTTTGTTAAATTATTGTAACATGACCTTACAGGATGTTTAAGGAAATGTTTTGAATATAATCCTAACAAATTGTTATGAAGCAGCAGCTACAAAAAACAATTTTGAACAGAAAAAAAAT